CCCCCCCCCCCCGCGAAGAACCCCCTGGACCCCTCTGGGACCCCATAAGTACTCCTTGCACTCCAAAATCACCCCCGGGGACCTCCTAGATCCTGTCAGGATTCTTGGGATACCCCAAATCACCTCCAGGTTCCTCCCAAATCCAACCCCTCCCAAGGACCCAGAAACCCCCAGGGAACCCCGAAAACCCTCCAGGGATCCCCCCCAACTACCCCCGATTCTCTTCCTCCCTCTTGGGACACCCAAACCTTTCTGGACCCCTCTGAAAATCCATTTGGGTCCCTCAGTTCTACCCCGGACCACACAAGTCCCACCCTGAGCATCCCAAATACTTTCAGCCCCCCCCAGTCCTATTCCAAGCTCTCCAAATTCCATCTGCAGACCCAAATGTACTCCTCTACACCCCCACAAATCCTACCTTGGGACCCCAAATCCCCTTGTAGATTTGGCTCCTCTCCGATCTTAATCCTATTCCTGCATCCCCCAAGCCCTCCTTGGTCCCCCAAAACCTGTTCAAGATCCCTTAGCCCTCTCCTGGGCCCCCCAAATTCTCCCGAGGGCCCCCAAAATCCCCTTGTGATCCCCCAATTCTATCCCAGGCCCTCTAAACTCCAACTTGGGCTTCCCTAAATCCCACCTGGTGACCTCCAGATCCTACCTGGGGACCCTCCAATCCTATCCTGGCCCTGCCAAATCCCACCTGAGGGCCTCCAAATCCACTCAGAACCTCCCAATCCCATCCTGGCCCTGCAAAATCCCTCCTGGGCACTCCAAATCCTCCTGGGGAGTCCCCAGAATCCCTCTGGGACCCCCCAAATTCAATCCCAAATCCCCTAAACTCCACCTTGGACCCCCTCAAATCCCATTTTGGGCCCACTGAACACCATCAGGATCCCCCCATCCTGTCCTGGACCCCCCAAACCCCCTTCTTCCCATTTCAGGGTCGCATCGCCTGTGCCAACGTCCTGAGTGACCTGTACGCCATGGGGGTCACTGAGTGTGACAATGTCCTGATGCTGCTGAGCGTCAGCCAGCGCATGACCGAGGAGGTGACAGGGACGGGGGACATGGGGGGGACAGTGTGGAGACAGCAGACACGGGGGGAAACTGGGAGACAGGTATATGGCGGGGCAGGGTGGTGATAAGGACGTGACCGGCTGGCAGGAATGTGGAAGTGGCACAGGGACATAAAGCAGGACAGGTGTGTGGCAAAGGCACAATGCTGACAGGGACATCCAGGGTGACTTGAGGGGGCCCAGAGACGCAGGGGGACAGTGACACGGAAGGGTCACTGCCACAGGGTGACAGTGACATCAGGCAGCACAGGCCCACGGGGGTGATGGGGGACACATAGGGGTTATGGTGACAGGGATGGGGACAGTCACAGTGACACGCTGGGGACCGGGGGCATGGGGGTGGCAGGGATCAGGGGGTGACAGGTGTATTAGGGGGGGTTGACAGGAGATACTGGGGAGTGACAGGGACACTGAGAGGGTGACAGGACCTAGCGAGTGACAGGGGAAGCTGGGGTGGTGACAGGGACACAGAGGGTTACAGGGACACCGGGGATGATGTGGGACACCGATGGGGTGACAGGAGCACTGGGGTGACAGGGGACACTGAGGGTGACAGGGACTGTCTTGTCCCCCCAGGAGAGGGACAAGGTGATGCCGCTGATCATCCAGGGGTTCCGGGACGCAGCCGAGGACGGGGGGACATCGGTGACAGGGGGACAGACGGTGCTCAACCCCTGGGTCATTGTGGGGGGCGTGGCCACTGCTGTTTGTCAATCAAGTGAATTCATCATGTGAGTGAAGGGGGTGGGGCCTGGGGGGCACTGCTGTCAATCAAAGCCATTATTGGAGTGATGGGTGGGGCTTGGAAGGGAGGGTGGCCATGGCCATGTCAATCAAGTGAGAGACTCGTGAGTGGTGGTTGGGGTTTGGGGACAGGGCAGGGACACTGCTGTCAATCAAGTGGGTTTGTCATGTGAGTGACAGGCAGTGCTTGGGGCGGGGCCTAAAGAAATGGGGGTGGGGCCACGGGGGTGGGGGGTGGAGGTGTGGGGAAGGGCTTGGGGACAGGGCATGTCCCATGCTGACCCCAGCCCTGCCCAGGCCGGACAGTGCCGTGCCCGGGGATGTCCTGGTGCTGACCAAACCCTTGGGGACACACATGGCTGTCACCGCACACCAGTGGCTGGACATCGTGAGTGACACTGAGGGGACCTGGGAAGGGCCAGAAGGGACAGGGGACATCATGGGGAGCCCAGAGCCAGCCCTGTATCCCCAAGGACACCTCAGACAGGTCTGGAGATGCCCAGGTATCCTCCAAGAGGAACCAAAATGGGACTAAAAACCACCTGAGATGTCCCCAGTGGGACCCCAAATCCTGATGTCCTAGAGGGATGGAGCTCCACCCTGGGAGTCCTTAAGCCTCCCCCAGTGTCCCCAAAGGGACCCTTGAGCACCATAGATGTGTCCCCAAGGCCACTGCAGGGGTCCCTGATGCTGTCCCCTCCCTGTCTCCACAGCCCGAGCGCTGGAACAAGATCAAGCTGGTGGTGACGAGGGAGGAGGTGGAGTTGGCCTATCAGGAGGCCGTGTCCAGCATGGCCACGCTCAACCGCACCGGTGGGTGACACTGGAGACAAAAGCCACCCTGTGGGTCTCCAAAACCAACCCAGATGTGCCCGGGGGATCCCAAAGCCACCATGAGTGTCCCCAGAGTCATTTCAGGGTGTCCGCAGACCCCAAAGCGGTCGGGGTGTCCCTAAAGCCACTCCAGATGTCCCCAGAGCCACCCCAAGGGAAGCCCAAAGCCACCAGAGGAACCCCTGAAGCTACTGGAGATGTCTTCCAAACCCCCCTAGGGTGTCCCTAGCCCACCCCACATGTCCCCAAAGCCTCTCCAGATGTCTCCGGAGTCACTCCAGGGTGTCCCTAGACCATGCTGGATATCCCTAAAGCCACCAAGGGAGTCCCTAAAGCCGCCCCAAACGTCCCCAGAGCCGTCCTAGGGTGTCCCCGAAAGGGCATCCCCAGAGCCACCCTCGGATATCCCCACGCCGTGTGGGGTCCGTGTGACGTGACGGCTGCGTCCCCCGCAGCGGCAGGGCTGATGCGGGCGTTCGGGGCGCACGCGGCCACCGACGTGACGGGGTTTGGGGTGCTGGGCCACGCCCGCGCGCTGGCGGCGCAGCAGCGCCTCGACGTGGCCTTCGTCATCCACAACCTGCCCGTCATTGCCAAGATGGCCGCCGTCAGCAAGGCCTGCGGGGGCCGTGGGGGGCTGCTGCAGGGCACCGCCCCCGAGACCTCAGGTACGGCCAAGGGGAGCTCAGAAATGGGACTGGGGAGCCTGGAAATAGGAAAAGGGGCTCCGGAAATGGGACCGGGGAGTCCGAAAATGGCGAGGGTCGATGTGAGGGGGCACTGGGTCATCCTGGCCAGCAGCGGGTGCTGTGCATGATGGAGCACATGGGATGGGATTGGGGTGCTAAAATAAGAGAGCCCAAAGCCAAGATAAGAGACCCCAAAAACGGGAGGGCTCTGATGAGGGGGAGGAATGTGGGCACAGAGGTCCAGCTGTGGTAGGACACGAAAAGCGGAGAGACAAAGCCCAAAACCGGGAAAGGGGAGGGGGAAATGTGGGGGAATGACCCAAAAACCAGAGTGATCCCCAAAACTGGATGGAAGGATCCCAAAAATGGTGGGAGGGATCCCCCAAACTCTACATTTTGGGTGGGAATTCCCCCTGAATCCCCATTTTCCCTGGTTGTGGGGCACCCCTAACCCCCTGCTCCCGCAGGAGGGCTGCTGGTGGTGCTGCCCCGGGCCCAGGCTGCACGGTTCTGCGCTGAGCTGAAGGCGCCGGGCCGCGCCGAGGGGCTGCAGGCCTGGATCGTGGGGGTGGTGGAGAAGGGGCCCCGCGGCGCCCGCGTCATTGACAAACCCCGGCTGATCGAGGTGCCCCCCCGCGGGGCCCCCCCACGCCCTGACAGCCCCGGGAGCCCCCCCCCGGAGCCACCCCGAGCGCCCTTCTAGGGGGGTGGCCCCCAAAACATCCCAGAATTGGGGTAAATCCTAGCCCTGGCACAGCTCCAGGAGAGAGAACCCCAAAGAAAACTCCCAAGTTATGTTAGATCCACCCCCTCTGACAGAGCCCAAAGAAACCCCCCAAAAAAACCCTGGGGCTCAGCTGTGGCCAAAATCCCCAACAATTCCATCAACTCCAGAGTCCCATCAAAGTTGCCCCAAAAATCAGGTCAAAGCCCCCCAAATCAGATCAAAACGCTCCAAAATCAGGTCAAGCCTCCCCTGCCCCTGTTTCCCCCACTCCCCCTTCCAGGGGACCCCAAACCCCCCAAAACCGCCCCAAATTTCAGCCCGACCCCCCCCCAGCACTGCAAGTGAAGCTCCCAAAATCCCCTCACGGGGGGCTTTGCACAAGGGGGTACCCCCAAAATCCCTCCGGACCCCCCCCCCCTTTTTTGGGGGACTACCCCCAAAATAAACTTTCCCCTCCCCCCAGGCTCTGCCCGATGAGCAGCGGGCAAAGCCCCCCAACCACCCCTGCACCCCAAAATCACCCCCTGCGTGACGCCCCCCCCTGCAACCCCCGGTGGGGGTGGGGGAGGGGCTGAGACCCGCCCTTAGGGGGGGGGGGGGGTGGGGCCCGGCCTTAGGGGGGGGGGGGGGATTGGGGGGCTCCGGGTTTTGGGTGGGGGGCGGCAGGAACTCCCCGGAAATGGGGCAATAAAAGCGGTTTCAGACAAATTTGGGTGTTTATTGAGGGGGGGAGACGCCAAAACCCCAGATGGGTCCTAGGGGGTGTTTGGGGGTCCTCCCACATTAGAGCCGGAGTCCAAGAGATTTGGGAGGGTGGGGGACCTCCCCAGTGGGGTTTTATGTGGGGCTAAGGGTGTTTTGGGGTTCCTGCGGATATTTTGGGGTGATTCAATCCCTGATGTTGATGCAGTGAGGGGATTCCCAGAAGAATATCTGAGGGTCTTTGGGGTTTCCAAGCCCTAAAACCCCAGGCTGAGGATCCTGAGGGTGATTTTAGGGTGCTCCCTCCCCCACCTGATCCGGCTGATGTGGATCCAGTGAGGAGATTCCCAGAAGAATATTAGGGGGTTTTCAGGGGAGGTTTGGGGTTCCCCCTGGGTTGAGACTCCTGGGGGTTTTGGGTTGCCCCTGGGGGTGATTTTGGGGTGCTGGGGAGGGTTTGGGGCCCTCCCTCACTTGATGCAATCCATGACATGGATCTGCAGCGTGTCCATGTCCGGAGCCTTGTACTGGCACTTGGGGCAGCACAGGTCGGGCCCTTCCTCAGCGGGGGGCAGGAGCCCCCCAAAACCTGCGGGGAGATGGGGGGAGGGGCAGAGTCATGCCCTGCCCCTCCCCTAGGGGGAATTTGGGGGTCCTGAGGCCACCCCTCTGTACTCACCCCTTCCTGGGACCGGTGCCGGGGGTGGCTCCGAGTGCCGGTTCCGCATCTCCTCCAGACGGGCCCTGGAGAAAAAAAATGGGGGATTTGGGGGAGTTTTGGCTGTTTTGGGGAGGTCAGAGAGGCCTTGGGGGATTTTGGAGGGGGTCTGGAGGAGTTGAGGGATTTTGTGGGAGTTCGGGAGGAGTTATGGGGGGCCTGGGGGACATCAGGGACAAGGGAGAGGGGGAAAGGGAGGTGCCTGGGGCGGTTTTGGGGTGTTTTGAGGTAGGTTTATCGTGTGGGGCTTTTGTTGTGGTCTCTGAGGGTGTTTTGGGAGAGGTTTTGGGAGGTTTTGGTTGTTTTGCAGGCATTCAGGTTGTTTGGTGCTAAGTTGGGGTCTTTTGGTGTGTTTTAGCCAGTGTTTTTGGGATGTTTCAGGGCGTTTGAGGGGTTTTTTGAGGTGTTTTGGGTGGTTTGGGAGTCTTCTGGGGTGGTTTTGGGGGTTCAGTGCCGGTACCGGGCCCCATCCCCGCCAAGGTGCAGCCGCAGCTGGTTCAGCTCCTCCTGCAGCGCCTCCCTCTGCCCGTGCAGCTGCTCCCGCGCCGCGCGCTCCGCCTCAAAATCCGCCCTGTAGATGTCGGCCTGAAGACATTGGGGGGTCAGGACAGCCCCCAAATCCAACCAGGGAGCCCCCCAAAATCCCCACAGACCTCCCCTGGCCCTGACTATGGAAATGTCAGCCTGGATTTTAGGGGGGTTGAGGGTGGGGTCAGGACCCCTCCAGGATCCCCTGAATTCTCCAAATCCCACTGGAGCCCCCAAACCTCCCCTCGCTCTGTCTCAAAATCCACCCTTGGGGTGGGAGGGGTCTGGGGGGCTCAGGTGGGGTCAGAACCTGCCCAGGAGGTCCCTGAACTCCCTTGGGACCCCTCAAACCGCTCTAGGAGTCCCCAAATCCCCCTTGATCCTCCCAGATCCCCCCAGACCCACCTTGGGGACACTGACCTGGGTTTAGGGGAGTCAGGGGACTCGGGACACCCCCAGACCCCCCTAATATCCCCCAGTGCCCCCCAGCCCCACCTGGGCCTGCAGCACCGGGATGGTCTCCAAGGCCGCCCGCTGGCGCTCGGCCTCGGCCTTGAGGTGATCAATCAGGTCCTGCTTGAGGGCCAGCGCGGCCTCGGCCGCCCGGAGCTGCTCCTGCGTCACCTCGGGGGAAAAATGTCACCTGTGTCACCTGAGATATCACCTGTGACACCCCCCAGTCCCCCCCACTGCACCCCCATCATGGCCTCAGCCGCCCAGAGCTGCTCCTGTGTCACCTGGGGGTGACAATGACACCTGGGGGGGGGTCACCTGGAGGATAGCTCTGTCACCCCCAGGTCCCCCAATGCAGCCTCAGCTGCCCAGAGCTGCTCCTAGGCCTTGAAGGGTGTCAACTTTGCCACCTGGGGGTCACCTGTGTCACCCCTGGCTCCCCCACTGCACACCCAGCGCAGCCTTGGCCACTGCTCCTGTGTCACCTGGGGAGCGGCACTGTCACTTGAGGAGTCACCTGAGGGCTCCTGAATCACCAAAGGGGCCACAGGGAAATTCCAGGTGTCCCGAAGGGGCTGGAATGGGGCCGGGATGCCACTGCCAGGTCCCCAGGGGAATGAAATAAGGGACAAGGGGCCACCCTGGGCTTCCCAAGGGTTGGGACATGACCCTCCATGTCCCCAGTGTCCCCCGGTGTCCTCTGTCCCTCACCTGGCTCCGTTTGTCCCCCTCCAGGCTGGCCTTGATGTGGGCGTCGTACTCCTGGAACAGGTGATGGTACGCGGCCTGCAGCTGCACCAGCTTCCGCCTGGGATGGGGGACATGGGGACAGCGAGGGAACATTGAGAACATCACAGGGGACATTAGGGACAGCGAGAGGACACTGAGGACATCATCAGGGACAACTGGCATGCAGCTGCACCAGCTTCAGCCTTGGGGACACTGGGAGTGCCACTGCCTCCCCTGTGTCCCCTTATTGGGACAGGTAGCCTTGAGCTCCACCAACTTCCACCTGGGACACTGGGGATAGTGAGGGGACATGGAACATCAGTGGCCACACCTGCCCATGTCCCCACCGTCACTCACTCCTCCCCAGTGTCCCCGTTGTCACTCACTTCTCCTCGGTGGCCCCACGCCGCTCCACCCTCAGGGCAGTTTCCAGGTTGGTCACCTGGAGCCGAAGCTGGTCTAGCTGCACCTGGTGGCCCTGGGTCACCTCTTCCAGCTGCTGGCACCGCTCGGCATCACTGCGGGCCCTGGGATACCAGTGACACCCCATTGTCACCCTGTGTCACCCCCTGTCACCTACTTCAGCTGCTGGCAGCACTTGTCATCCCCGTGAGCCTTGTGACACCCCAGGAAGACCCCACTGCCACCCTGTGTCACCCCACTGTTACCCTGTGCCAAACAGTGTCACCTCCCCAAACTGGTGGCACTACCCAGCATCCCCTTGGACTCTGTGTGTCACTCAGTGTCACCTCCTTGAGCTGGTGCCACCACCCAGCATCCATTGAGCTCTGTGACACCCCAGTGTCACACAATGTCACCTCCATAGGTGTCACTTCCCCACCTGCACTGCAGGTGCTCCCATTCCACCCAGCTCTGCTGTGGTGTCCCCTCCCCTTGGGGACAATCCCTGACCCCCAGCATTCCCTGTGTCACCCCCAGCTGTCCCTGGGTGTCTCCATGTCTCCCCAAGTGTCCCCACCTGCGCTCCAGGTGCTCCCGCTCTGCCCGGCTCCGCTCCAGCCGATTTTGGCTCTCCCGGAGCTCCCCCAGCAGCGACGTCACCTGGGCCTGCACCTGAGCCTTGTCCTGCTGGGGACAGGGACAGGGACACTGTCACCCTTTGAGTATCCCTAGCTATCCCCAGGTGTGTTCACAGTGTCCCCAGGGCTGTTCCCATGTCCCCAAGGTGTCCCCGGTACCTCAAGCTGGCGGCGCAGGCCCTGCAGCTGCAGCTCAGCTGCGCGGGAAACGTCCTGAGCCCGGAGCTCGGCCACGGCCACACGTGCCCGCAGTGTCACCAGCCTGTCACCAAGGGTCATTGGTGTCACCAAACCCTGGCCACCCATGCCTGCAGTGTCACCAGCCTGGGGACAGTGTCCCCAGAGTGTCCCCAACACCGCCAGCTTCCCTCAGCCATGGCTACCACCAGCCTGTGAGGTCCCCAAAGTTTCCCCAAGGGTCCTCTGGTGTCCTCAGTGTGTCCCCAGGTGTCCCCCAAATGCCCCAAGCATCCCCAAAGTGTTCCTGAAGTGACTCCAAAGTGACGCCAAAGTGTCCACAAAGTGCACCAAGGTGTCCCGAAGTATGCCCAAGTACCCCACAGTGTTCCAAAAGTGCCCCCGACTGTCCCCAAGTGTCCTCAAAGTGCCCCCAAGTATCCCCAGACTGTCCCCAAGTGCCCCCAATGTCCTTGACTCACTCAGCCTCAGCCTCTGCCAGGCGCTGCTTCAGCTGCTCCTCAGAACTGGGGGGACACGAGGGGGAGTCGGGGGGGTCAGAGGGGGTTGGGGACATAGAGGGGTCCCCAAGGAGCTGGGGAGGGGGGCAGGGGCTTACCTGGGCTCCAGGGGGGTGCTGGAGGGGGCCTGGGGGGGCTCCGGGACAGCAGGGACGTCCTCAAGGGGGAGAGACACGGAGCAGGGGGGGGCCTCGGGGGGCTGCAGGGACATTGGGCAACATAAGGGACACATTGGAGGGTGCCCAAGGGGGCTGGGGAGCCAGGGAGGGGACAGAGGGGGGAGGGGGAAGGACTCTGGGGGACACAAGAAGGGGAACATGGTGGGTGCAGTGGGAGTGGGACACAGGGGGGATGAGGGAACACGGGGGGGATCACATATACCTTGGTGCTGGTGTCAGGGGTGTCCCTGGAGATGTCCCGAGTGTCCCTGAGGGTGTCCCTGATGTCCCCAGGCGTGTCCTTGGCGTCCCAGACGTCCCCAGGGGTGTCCTTGGAGTCCCCAGGGGTGTCCTTGGCGTCCCCAGGGGTGTCCTTGGCGTCCCCAGGGGTGTCCCCGCTGTCCCCGGGGGTGTCCCCGGTGCTGTCCCTGCGCTGTCCCCGCAAGTGCAGCACCAGGTCCCGGGCCTGTCCCCAACGTCCCCGCAGCAGCTCCCGCTCCCCCCGGCGCTGCAGCTGCAGCTTCCGCAGCTCCTCCAGGCGCTGCCGGAGCGACTCGGTGCAGTGACACAGAGCACCTGGGGACAGTGAGGACATTGGCAGGGACAGGGGGCATTCAGGGACACTGGAGGAGTTGGAGACATTGGGCAGGTTGGGGACACGGGGCTGTTGGGACATTGGTGACATCAGGGGGTTTGGGGGGACTGGGGACATTGGGGGCCATTGTGACATTGAGAACATTTGGACACTGCGGGGACATTGGGGATATCGAGGATATTGGCGAAATGAGGGACATGAAGGGGATATTGGGGACCCTGGGGATTTTGGGGACATAGCACACATCAGGAACCTTGAGACATTGGCGGGATGGGGACGCTGGGGACAGCGGGGATATGGGTATGTTGGGGGGAACATCGGGAACACTGAGGACATCGAGGACAATGAGGACGTTGTGGGCATTGGAGGCACTGAGGGCATCGGGGGACTGGGGATATTGGGGACATTGGGACATCAGTGGGGTCACTGAGGACATTTGGCACGTTGAGGTGATTTGGGACATTAGGACATCAAAGGAGACACGGGGACATCACTGGGGACATCCCAGTCCCTCCCAGCTCCCCCAGTTCTCACCCCTTAGCTCGCGGTTCTCCGCCCGCAGCCGCTGCAGCGCCTCCGCCAGCGCCGGATCCGCTTCGGGCCCCGGCTGCACCATCTCCGCGGGCCGCCGCCAGCGCCCGCCGCTCATCGGCGGC